AATGCATCTGTCAGCTGTCCTCCATGCACTACTTTGCACTGTAGTCCGTCGTATGAGTTCCGGATAATGTTGACAATCTTCTCAGGAACTCCGTAGTGTCGAAGAAGTTTCCATAATGTCCTCCTATCTACACTGTCGAATGCCTTTTCATAATCAATGAAGTTGATCTCGAAGTTGGGCGTCTACTGCATCCTTCATCCGGTTCAGCAACACTCTGTTGAGACTTTCCCTGGTATTGACAGTAGTGTAATGCCTCTGTAGTTTTCACATTTGCTCAGATCTCCTTTCTTTGGAATCTTGACGAGGTGTCCTTCTTTCCAGTCCATCGGCACTTGTTCCTCCTCCCAAATCTTTTTGAATAGAAGGTGAAGCATGCTTGTGGTTGCTTCGATGTCTGATTTCAGTGCTTCAGCTGGTATGTTGTCGGGTCCTGCTGCTTTCCCGTTCTTGATTTGTCTGACGGCCATTCTAATTTCTTCCGTCGTTGGTGGGTTGACATCTATAGGAAGATCTATGTGTGCTGCTTCGATGTCCGGTGGATTCATTGGAGCCGGCCTATTCAGGAGTTCCTCGAAGTATTCTACCCATCTGTTCCACTGTTGTTGAATTTCGGTGATTGGCTTGCCTTCTTTGTCTTTGACCGGCCTCTCTGGTTTACTGTATTTCCCTGATAGTTTCTTCGTTGTATCGTAAAGCTGTTTCATATTTCCTTCTCTAGCAGCTTTTTCTGCCGTCGTTGCTAGTTCTTCCACGTATTTCTTCTTGTCGGCTCTAATGCTCCTCTTCACTTGTTTGTTTGCTTCTATGTATTCAGCTTGTGCTTGGACTTTCTCTGCTCGTGTTCGGCTGTTGTTAATTGCTGCCTTCTTGTTCTTCCTTTCTTTGATCTTGTCCAGTGTTTCTATAGAGATCCATTCCTTATGATGGTGTTTCTTTAGGCCCAGAACCTCTTGACACGTTGAAGTTAATGCTTCCTTGATGCCTTTCCAGTTGTCCTCCATAATAGTTTCTTCTTCTTCAGTAGATCTTGTAAGGCTTGGAACCTGTTGTTGAGAGCTATCTTGAATTCATTGAGTTTGTCAGTATCTCGAAGGAAGGCTGTATTGAACCTTTGTAGTGCTGTTTGTCCACTTGTCCAGTTCTTTTTTAGCTTCAGTTTTAAATTGGCTACAACTAGGTGGTGATCTGAAGCTACGTCAGCACCTCTCCTGGTTCTCACATCTTCCATTGTCCTTCGGAATTTTTTGTTGATGCAAATATGATCTATCTGGTTCTCTGTAGTGTGGTCCGGTGAGATCCATGTAGCCTTGGTTGTTGAATGCAAATAAATTTGCAAATCTTTCTCCATTTTCGTTTCTGTCTCCCAGTCCATGTCGTCCCATAATATCTTCATATCCGGTGTTGTCTATTCCGACTTTGGCATTTAGATCTCCCATTAGAATGGTGAGTTCCTTTCTTGGGCATTTCTCTATGATTGACTGCAGCCGCTCGTAGAATTGATCTTTAATGTCGTCGTTGCTATCATTGGTGGGTGCATAACACTGGATGATATTCATTGTGACTCCCTCCTTCTTTGTTTTGAATGATGCTTCGATGATTCTGGATCCGTGAGATTCCCATCCTATAAGTGCATTTCGTGCCACTTTGGACAGCATAAGAGCGACTCCCTGAGTGTGTGGAGCATTTTGCTCTTCGTGACCGGAGTATAGCAGCATCTCTCCCGTATTTAGCCTTTTCTGTCCAGCTTGGGTCCAGTGGGTTTCGCTGATTCCCAGTACTGCCAAATTGTATCTCCTCATTTCCGTTGCTATTTGACTGGTCTTCTCGGTTTCCCACATTGTTCGGACGTTCCATGTATCTATAAAAATTGTTGCTCTGGTTGTTAGAAGGGGCATCGGCCTCGCGGCTTCCGTAGGAACTCGACTTTCAACATGAGGCGTCATAATTCTTCTAAATGAAGACCTTCTAACTTTCAGGGCAGAGTTAAGATGGTTTGAATTATTTTTTCTGGTTAGCGATTTTTTAGTGAGTTAGTTTTCTATGGGATCGGGTCGCTAACCCCATGCACAACTCTCCTTCTTTACCCGGGTTTGGGACCGGCAGTAACTCTAGAAGAGCTACAGGAGGAGCTATATCTTATTTTACATAACCAGTTAATTCTCTTCTTAACTGGATTATAACAAACGATGAGATTGAATTCCCTTAACAATCGGAAACAATAAGCCTAACGACTAAATCGTGGCAAACAAAATAATCTCTTAATCCAGAGATTATGGTCAATATCTGATGAGTAATAAGTCGCATCTTGGTCTAAAACTATCCAAATCCTGACAACATGTCAAAAAATAAACATTGACAAGAAATGGAGAAGATGAATAGGAAGTTTCTTGATTTACGTTCAGCAGTTGTCATTCAAGGAAGATCAATTTTCCTGCTGATTATAATAGTAGGATCATGCAAAGGCGAAATTGAAGAAATTTCATCATAATTTATTTAATCCAACACTAACACTAACTTGAATGTACGTAAGCCATCTAATAAGTTTAAAATAAAATTAGATTGCTGCTTCGAGCTCCGCTAAAAATGTTCCCATTATGATACAATCACAGGCTCTCTCGCTCTATATATACTCTTATTAAAAGACCGTACACCAGCATGAATTTAATAATTTGGTCATGGAAATTAACAATAAGAGGTCTTAAATCCTGATAACTTTGTATAGCCTTTGAACGAAAGGTGAATAATTTAACACAACAGATTGATCGCTTAATGGAATGATTTTTTAAAGTGACAGGTGCTAGCATTTAATTTTGTTGGATGTTCAAAGGCACCCCGCGATATAAAGATTCAATCCACAAGTATTTATTTTATTTATTTATTTGAATACATAAGTATCGGTACGAAGGGGCACCGAATACATATACGCCACGCAAGTCACTTGATTTGTGTGTGGGCTATGATACCACCCGGGTGCCCGAACCGAGACAAGTGGTTTTCTTGGGGGGCCACACCCAGAGCCTTCGACCTAAAGGTCTGATCCACAAGGCAGTGGGGCAACATCAGGAGATGCAGTCCCATGGTAGTTGGTGACCAAAGATTGGTTCATACGCCATTTGTTCCCTCAGGATACTGGAGCCCATGTGTATCACTGGTTTGGAATAAGGGTTTTCCAACTCCGCTAATTGGATGCTCCATACCCACCAACCCGGTTAAAGCGCCGAACATTCGCTTTTCGTCCTCTCAATTTCGTAAACAACACGCACGCCGCGAGAAGGCAGTGAGTGGGACTTCCGTGGCAGTGGCTATATACGTTTGGCCACATGAGAGCATTTTGAAAGTGTGAGCTGACTCTCCCCACCTTCGGCCGTACGGGGCATTTGGGGCAATTCTCAAGTAGTCAACATTTCATATATCGCTTCCTTACAATCTTAAGACGTCATTTTGAAGATCATATTTCGTACATCTTGTTTCTAAAGAGATGGTTTACTCAAGCGATTAATTATCAAGAGTGGTGTTCGGAACTTTGATAGTGTTTGGCAAGATTGGAACCAACTAAACGAATAAGTTCTGCATAAACCACAAATCTCAATAAAAAATGTCTATTCACTAAAGTCTAGACTAGAGAGGAATTCCGGGAGTTCTTTTGAGAATCTGTGACCACTGAGATCCACCCATGTTCGGAGTGAGATAGGTTTCAATGTAATGGATGATGGTGACTCTTTATCAATTAATTGAGGTTTGAAATATCCACCAATGATTCATACCAAGTGGTCGATAAGAATCATAATAAAGAATGAAGGTCGTAGGTTAGTTCTCGTTTTGAGCAGTAGGTGAGCATTGTTGTTCAGTACTACCTGATTTTCAATAGTCCTCAATAAAAATTACTAATTCAGATTTTAAAATAATAACTATCTACTATTCACATGATTTGAAATTCTTGTTTTCTATATTACTCCATCAAGAAACGGAACAGCTATCTATAACCCTATCCTTATCGACTGTTTTTCATTTGTAGATCATATCTTATAATATATATTAATCATATTAATCTTTACTGCAACTTAAGCTAATTGTAATTACTCAGTACAGTTTACTAGTTATCTCATAATTAACTTTATTGTATTTGAATCATCTTCACCACAGTTTTTTCAAATCAATAAATATGTTATGATTTAATATGTCTAACACACTCATAACCAGTTTTTAAAATCATGAAAACGGATTTTAGCAATAATTACTTTAAAAATGGAAACTTTAATTAGTGATATGAAAAGTATCATTTAGTTGGCTAATTAATTGATCGATTTTAATTCCAACCAGAATTGGAGAACAAATTTGAAAAACGTATTTCCAATCAATTCTAGTGACATTCTTTGTATCTCTGTTCACTGATTCACAATACATTACAAACTTATGTACATACACCCACATAGGTGTATCTATACACATAACATCTGTACATAAATTCCACTTTTAAGTGTGCATAAATATGTCTATCACTATATCTCTATCAACCCTCATTTTACCCACAAGCCCAGAGATCACCCGCATATGTAGTTAAATATGTGCGTTTGTGTATATGTGCACTAATCAATTTGAAATAGTCAAGTTGAAAAGGAAATGATACTAGTCTGTGCTTGTATCTCCTGTGGATTTAGTTGCTGTGGTCCATTATTTTTCACAGACGTGACCTCGGCCACATGATAATCAGGTTATTGGCTTCATACTCATTGATTACCACCCCCCCTTGCTCTAGAAACTTATTTAGAACTCTGGACGTGGGTGAACGCAGATTAAACATGCATAAACTTTCAAGCTGTCTCCCATTGAATTCACATTCCAATTTTTTGAGCTGTCTAAAGTCTGGGTTTAGCTCTGCCTTGGTCCTATCGATCCATGTTTTATAACTCACATGAATGGGTTGCTGTGTGTTCTTTAGAAATGATAATAAGGGTGGTAGCATCCCGATTCAGGAGAATGGCAGAACGGGAGTAAGGGTGATGGTGAGTTTGAGTGGGTGAGTACATTGTAAGGGTGTAGAAAATTTTTGGGTGTGTGTGAGCGTATGGTCACCAGTGCTATGAAGGCAGGAGCACAATAAAGGCACAATTCCATAAGGCCAACAACTAAATTGTAAATAACAGTGATTGCACACCTACACACAAACTGAGAATAATGGATACAGTGACTGATTTTTTCACTCTCAAAGCTTGCTCCTCTAACCCGTTCACTGGCTCACAAATATACAGTACCCATTAACGAATGGGTTGTGCTGCCTAAATCAGGTTGAAGCTAGCTGTAACATAGACTAACAGACAGACAGCACACCCATCTGTCGATAGAGTAAAGTGGATTATTTGGCACTTCCGTCTACCATAAATCAGGGGACTGACAATTTAAATCATATTTATAGAGACAGATTGGGACGTCTTACGTTTATCACGTTACAAACTGTGCAAGAAAACAAAGACAAACATTTTGTGTATAATTCAAATATTGGAATTCATCTTAAAATCAATAAAACCAAGTGTTTGAAAATTTCCTATCGTATTAACAAAGTGAGTTCTTTATTGTGTAATATTCAGAATTATGATAATCAAACATTTGAATGTACGAGTTCAGATTTTATCATAAACTGATAATATTCAAATATTTCATAGGTTGAAATCATGAGTCAATTGAAGCTAGATCACCATGTAAAACCTGGAAGCACTGGACGGCCATTTCGTCCTAGTATGGGACCCCTCCATAGTGGTCTAGCTTCAATTGACTCATGATTTCAACCTGTGAATTTTCTAAAAATTCTCCACAAAACCCATTCTGATAATATTCAAATATGTATTACAAATTAGTGAGTGTTACAAACTTAAGTTCCTCAAGAGGATTTTTCAGATATACACATCTTGAATTCAAACCTAGATATATGAGTCTTCAAAAGGGGTAATTTATTTTTTAAACCATCAAATTAAATTCTGCAATGATATTTCCATCCTAATTCTCTATAGAACTGTAATATTGAGATCCTATGGGAAACTTAAGCATAATATAATGGTTAAAGATAGTTAGTAAATATAGATTTTAATAAATGTGCTTCTCTTCGTTAGAAAATTGATTTATTTTTATAGACATGATGATGAAAGTTGAATGGAAACGGAAATTAAGGTTTGACTCACATCGTCTAACTTCATCACGTATCTAGAGTAGAGTCTAATGTTCGCAATCAATAATTTGAGAAAATTGAAATACAGGAAGTATCCATTGGATTAACGGTCTGATTCCCTGAAGTAGTCTAATTAAACATTTAATGTATAGATAAACAATTACTAATATATATGACTGGTCAAATATTGATATCTGCCCACTTCCATACTCTTCCTAAAAGTTTTGTTTCGAGTAATTACATATTACAACATAAACTTTCCCCTATAGTTTAGATTTTCGTTCCACCAAAGTGAATAATTGATGTCTTTCATGATTTTCTTTGACATTTAATAACTCATACAAAAATAATGAAATGAATAAGTTAGAATAGAAAAGTGATTCATGAAAATTGTAATGTTTGTGACTGGTAGTCAAAAAATATTATTATTATTATTGATCAATCTGAAGGTATTTTTGATCAAAACTGAAGAACTACTTCTGTTTATGTGAAAGATATTACGAAAGAGCAAAGAGTTAACACGTCCTAGTTTTAAAAAAAATTTATTTGAGAATACTGTTAATTCAGTTACGATGCAATCAGATCTCGTGTTCAATATGCCACAATTTGGCAACAAATGTTTCATACCTTACATACTTAGCTAACTGATGATATAGTCGATTATCACAGATGCTCATTCGGATTATCACATACAAAAAGTTAAATATAACTATTGATTAGTTGATAGTTATGTCATAATTTATGGAAAAAAGAATATTTCCATTCTCAAAGACTATTGAATTCATTAGAAATGAATACCAAATAGGTGACAAAAGTATAAACTAACAATAAATCAAATTCTTATAGTTAGTAATGATGTAAATTGAGTTAACAACCTACAACATGGAGTTAGTTATATAGATGAGTTGTTCATTTGTTTTTAGATGATTGGATATATATCTATATATATATTAATGAAAAATTACTAATATTTAACTATTTTTTTACTTCAATTACATCGAGTTGTTTACATAAACTAGTAATCAAATAAAATTTCTTACGTTAGGTTCATACTTTTAACATTCAAATTAAACTGTTGCCCTTTAAGTGGGTGGCGTTTATCAGTGATTGAAATTACTTGGATATAATCGAAGACCACGGAGCACTAGTATACAGTTCCTCAGGAATACTACTTGGAACCAAACCCATTTTTCGAAGCAAGAGCGTTATCCTTACTCCACTAAGTTAACACCCTTATTTTAAACTTTTAACCTAACTTAAAAATCTCACATAACCCCACAATTAATCATTTAAACCGGGTTACTATCTCTTAACTTCCTGAAATGTTAGTCAGTAGGCGAAAATGTTTTATAACTGTTGAGTTAACCGCATTGGCTTTGAATTTTTACCACTAATGTGTAAGATTTAAATTGTCCATTCGGACATAGTGTCACTATATAGCTTGTAGGTAGTGTCATTTTACAAATTATACAGTCATATTTGTTGAACATTTAAATGAGTCTATCTTTAATTCAGCATTATCTTGTAATGCTTAATAATAGGATTTTATAAAAAGTTTGGCACGTTGATCTAGACTTGAATTCATGACTTGTTAATTAGAAGTTAAAAATCTTTAGCATGTAATCTACCTCTACATAATTGGCTATGTAACATTAGTAAACAAGTATATTTTCTTTTGCTATATAATTACATAATATCCGAAGTGAACAACATGAGGTTATAATAACTAGAAATATTTTCAGGGGTTTATAAAATTACCATTTTTCTCACTTATCTCCATTAGTTTAAGTGTACAATATGTTTGCTATGTAGACTGAAATTTAAGATTCAATTTTAAGTGAACTAATGTTCAGATAATATTAAACTTTCAGATCAGAATGACAAATCAGTTTTACTTTTTGCTTGTAGTTTACTGGACAACGGAGTTGGACACCCAGTTTATGGCTGCAATTAATTCCATATCTATTTTTAGAATATCATACAAAAGTTTTGTAGCACAAGTTTGTTAACACTGAATCTGTGGTAAACAAATGTTTATGATCATCTACTTACAATACATCCATGACATTTTGGTTACGTTATTATTAACATAGATAACTGGTGATTACTACGTTATGATTACTGACTATGAATAGAAAAATTTACATATATTTAGTTTTTTTTTAATGTAATGTCTTTCCAATAATGTGGTGTAATCAGTAATCTAACTAGACATATTTTTTAATGAGTGCTTTATGTTACTGAGAACTAGTTACCTATTTTAAGCACTCTTACTTATGATGCTGAAAGTTAAAACATAAGTTTAACTGATATTGGAAGTTGAAGAAAACTATAGTATTTTTGTTTATAATCATCTATAATGCTTTGTCTGACTGCTCAATAAATCAAAATTCACATTTCAATAGATGTCTAGTCACCTCTCAATAATATTGATTAAAATTGTGAACTCGTAATTAGATGAACATGACTTCTATCTTGTTATGACTGAAAAATATGTGTACTGTTTTATTTAGATGCATATTTCGGTGAATTATCAACATTTAAATGTTCTCACATTTTACAAACTGAAATGCAAACTATGTGCATATCTATCACATTACTATTGGTTAAATCTTGTAAGGATATCGAAATAGCGGGAGAATGTTGAACTAGAAATCGTTAGATGGTTGAAAGTAACACAATTAACGGATGCCAAATGATATAGGTATTTCAAATAAAAGTTTCAAGTCACACTAATGTGAAGGCTTCTTTTCAATATAATAAACATGAATGAAAAATACCAAATATTATCAATGAAGGACATTTCAGATAAATGATTGATTACCATTACTGACCACTCTAACTTCTTAATATTTTCGTGGAAAGTGAATTTTACAGGAAGAGAGTATCTCATCCAAGCAAATAGAAGAAATCAATCTCTGATATCTTTTATCTTGTAATTGAGAGATAAAATGAAGAGAAAATTTATTAATGCGTATATAATGTGTTAGACTATGATCATCAAATAGATGAAATAACTGAAGGCCCTATGAACTTATGGGCTAAAGGGCAACACCTATGAAGTAGTTCATCGATTATCAGTCCGATACTTCTTTAACACCGATTTTAAATGTTTGGGTTTCTCTCGAATCATTCACTATTGCGTTCATTGGTCATATAAGCAAAACGATCACAAATAGATGCTTTACGTTATACTACCTTTTAAATAAAGATTCCTCATTTCAAGCCAATCCGAACTGAACTGTTTAGGAAAGATGATTGACTAAGTGGTTGGAATATAGAATACCTTGACATGATCATAGTCTGATGGTAAACATAAATGTACATAAATGGATGAGAGTAGAGTATGATGGAAACCACAAGTCACAACTAGATTCAAATCAATCGTATCTAAATTACATATTCTATCCTATTTCTTATATTTTTTTACAAATTAACTGATTCGTATATAGTATATAGTATATAGTAACATCACACTTCGAACGAAACAATTAAAGCTGAGGACTGGAAAGTGTAAAGTAATTCCAAGACACAAATTTTAAAGGAAGATGAAAAGTAAATGAACCTACAGTACTGCAGCAAATCATCAACCACGCCATTTCAGATATTTAGTGCTAGACAACGATCATCACGTGGACTGAAACCGGAGATTTAACACACTCAGTCACGGTTAAAACCAAGATTCAATTACTTCATGTCTTGATGATCTGGTTGCCTTCATCTTACTTCCAACCTAGTACTATGCTAGCATAACGAAATAGTTCGAAATTACTTTTGGATCTGATATATGTTTCATTCATAGTTAAATAACATAAACAATAAAATTAATCAAGTTAAACTGGTCAAGAATTATTCATTAAAGAATTTAAGGAACAAATTAAAGGTTTTTTCTTGTTATCATTATATTGTTTGTTTCTTAGAAGAAAAATAAGTATTACCAAGACTGTTCTTCACGTATTAACATTATATATTTCGTAGGTGATTTAGGGTTTGAATAACTGTAACTTATGTTCTTGATCGTAACAAATCTAATACTGAGAACTTCTAGCTCTAGAGCAAAGAATAATGACCACAGGTTGAACGTATTATCTGTCTACTTTTGTACCGTTGCCTATTTTCATGGCACCATAATTAAATTGATAAAATACTGGTAGATTAAAGTGTTCGAACATATGATTTACTTACAAAAATGGATTAATGAAGGAGTCAATAATATAGTTTTTTCCATATATAAAATATTCAACCAAAGTCATGCGACTTGTTACATTACAACTATTAAACAAGGATCAACATTTCGTTTTGGTTGAACTATTTGTCAATAACTTGTGAAGAATTTTTATTATCCTATTACTTTTTAATCTTGTGTTGGGGATTTTGTTTATAAAAATCACGAAAGCT